TCATTTTTTTATCTTAAACTATGTAAAATATTGTCAGTATTTTTTATATTCAGGTTTCAAAAAGGGCGCAAAAAGGGGGTGCTTTCTGGGGCCTGGATACATGGAGGGGCCCGTCGAGGTTTATTCATTTTAGTAACTTCAACGTTGACCTGCAACAAACTTTTAGTCAGCTCCAGAAGCTAATCAGAGCAAATCCACAGAGTGGTTAATGTTGGCCAGGAGGCTAATGCTAACGGTACTGATGCAATGTGCATGTGTATATGTTAAATTACATGTGGGGAGGGGCCATAAACGGGGCCTTTCATGTCAGTGGGCGTTGCTTTTCCAACCATAATGGAGGATCTGACGGCTGCAGTGATTGAAACGTGACTTTATGTCTCTCTGAATGATGAAAGAAGGATTATAAAGATGATGCTGTGGTTACATCACGCTGCTGACCCCGATTAATTCAGTTTAACTGTGATGTTGATGGTGTGACAGGAATTCATGGCACCATCTGAGTTCAAGGTAATTAGTGCAAACATAGCCTGAAACAGCTTACAGCGGGATAGAGTTATTATTTAGTTGAATCACATTTCTTTGGAAATCGTTCCTCTGAGGAGACGCTGATGAAATGTGCTCCAATCATTCAGTATAAATTACTAAAACCTTCGATAATCTTCACTATCCGATACTTTCCCATGGCTTGTTTTAACTCTAACTCATATTTGAGGTTAGCAGTTTAACATTAAGTTCTTTTTGCGTTTCAGGATCAGCGACTACCTGAGGTTCATTTTACCAGCCTTTAAAAGTTTAGTTTTGTATCTTTTCCATTTTGTACTACAATCAAAGCTATTTTTTCATGGATGAAAATATAGTTTTAGTAGCTTTAACCAACTTAACTTAAACTCAAATGCTAATTGGCTAGCTTGCTAAAGCGCTAACTCTCAGCCAGCGTTGTCTGGCGTTGAACCAGCGATGCTAGGCTAGGCTTGTGAGTGTTGACAAACTTATCGCCCAATAATAAAAAAAACTTGGAATAAGTTTTTCCCGTTTGGTTTGGTAGGGGGCTGGAGTCGATCCCAGCTGTCATTGGGAGAGCGATGGGGTACACCCTGAATTTTGCTATTCAATCACAGGGCTGACTTATAGAGACAGACAACCAGCCACACTCACATTCACACATACGGGCAATTTAGAGTCACCAATCAACCTAACGAGCATGTCTTTGGACTGTGGGAGGAAGCTGGATTACCTGCAGAGAACCCACACATGCACGGGGAGAACATGCAAACACAACTTGCTATAAAAATGGAATCCATTTTTTTAACATACAAAATGTGTTTTTTTTAAAGACGATGTGCTGTGGTTGACCAGTTCTTAAAACTTTTTTCACCATACGTTTGGTTCACTCCTTCGTCTTCCCCCGGCTCATATCTGATCAGATTTACTCACTCATGGGTCAACGAAGGGCACAGCCTGCCGGTCCACATTCCAGCATCTATTTAAGAAACACAGACTGTACCTTTCAGTGACGCCGCACTGCTCGCCTTACTTCATTTCTTTTCCCTTTTCTATTCATGGAAGAGGAAGAATAACAACAGACAGTTCAGTATACAAAAGGCAACAGAAGATAAACACAGACACAGATACACACAAAGGTTTAATGTTTGCCAACATCAACACTAAACAGAAAAACACTCTAATCATCAGCACTGTTCAAACTAAGTTTAACAACACCCTATTGTACCTACTCCACCTGTACTCTGACATGCATATGTGACATCAATTCCTTAAAGGTCACCTTAAACAAAATACACTTCACTATGTTTTCCTAACAAAGAGTAAGGTCTGTTGCCTGCTTTTTGTAAAGTGTCCCCAGATAACACTTGTTATGAGTTGACGCTATACAAATAAAAATTGATTGATTGATTGAACACTAATGTGTCCCTAGTCTGTCTACAACCCAACCCCCCCCCCCCCCCAATTATGAGGAAAGTCCATTCCCTCTGTCTTTTGCCTGCTCCACTTTTCAGAAAATGTGTGCTCAAACAGGCCATTTGAAGATTTTCCCTTTGTGACATCACAAAGGGCAGTGACCCTTCCCCCAGGTGGGTGACACTCCCCACAGCTAGGTGTTTGTTCTGCCCTCTGAGTCTGCCTTCTCACTGTAAACAATCAGGCATGGTGCAAGAAAGCCCAAGCGCAGAGGTGGTTGAACACAACATTTAAAGGTACAGACACAGAAACAGCCTGTTCTGAGCAGGGCTGAAATAGAGGGGTTTATAGACATGATAAAATACAGGATCAGAGAGGATTCTTGGCAAGAAACTTCACTCACATATTTTAGGGAGCTTAGAGTCTTATTTTAACTTGTTAAAATAAGAGTATAACATTTGGCCTTTAAATGATCATGTATGGGTTTTAAAAGTCCCTTAAACCATATTATATTGCATATATATTGCTTTCTCACACTGAGAATAATCAGCTCACTGTTGGAGTAGCAGGCGTCTTGCATCATCCTCCTCATATTGTTGGTCTTGGGAGGGAGTTTCCCAGAGGAAAAGGGATATATCCTGGGACTGCTGCCCTCTCTGCCATTCTTCACCATCTGGTTTCCATCGGGAGCTGCTGTTCTGCACTGTGTCAAAGTTTTCTAAAAGGATACTGCCTTTTTCCACTTTTTCTTTGACCTCATTACATTCTCTCAATTTGTTGGCAACATTTTTAACCAGTGCTACAATGCTTTGAAGGGCAACTTTATTGAGAATTCTCATACAGTCACTAATAAAATGACTTAGACTGTCTTGAAAAAAGGATAATAACAGACGGCCTATACCATTATGTTTAATGCATTGTCCTGGATTTTCTTGTATAAACTCAACAAAACTTCTTAGCTTTCGGTAACTTATAAATAGGCTAAAATAAGTCAGAGTTTATGGTATTTCCTTTTGGCTCCAGTTCAAACCCATGATGCTGCAGTTTCACTGAGTTGGAAGAGGAGGAAATGGTAATGACTTTTGACTGTGGCAGGAATAGGGTGAGGTGCCCAACTGTGATTGGAATGAAATAAACAGGGGGAGACTTGCATGACCTCTAAATCTGGCACAATAAAGTAGTAGTGTATGAAAATTATATGACAATCCTATTCATTAAAAAAAAATATATATTTTATGTTAATTTTCAGTTAAACATATGTTTCCATCAACTGGAGCTGGGCTTTAAAAACCAACATCAGATTTAGTGATACAGGATCCGTGAGCTGCTGACGCAGTGAGCAAATGGGGTGACTGCTTCACTGCACTGTAATTACATCCACATGATTGGGCCTGTGAATTGTGCCTCTTGGCTCGAGCTGCACTGTTTCCTAAAGTTCACTTCGATATGTTTGACTGACCCTCAGAACTACTCACACAGTATTCTTAAACTTTCTGCTCCAGTTATCAGCTTTAGGTTCAATCAGTCAATCAACCAATCTTAATTTGTAAAGCGCCAACATTACAAATGTTATCTCGAGACGCTTTACAAAAAGCTGTTAAAAAGACCTTACTCATTGCTTTATTACAAAAACCCAACGTTAATCTATCATGTGCACAGCACTGAGCAACATTTTGCAGAGTTAAAGTGCCTTTTAAGAGGAAAGCTTGTTGGATTTTGTGTGGGGATAAAGAGACTGTTTGTAAAGTCACTTTAACAATATTAAAACTGAGTAGTCTGTTTAATGTGTGGATGGTTCAGATCTAATACAGTCAGAGCCAAATATTCTCTCTTTATTTAATTGTTCTAAACACACATATCTGACCTTTTTATAATCTGGAACGAATTGAGACAATTGGTGTAGAGACATGAATCTGCATATATTGTTTTTATCACTGACTATTCTAAAGGTCTGTGGTGAAAGCTGGTCAAATGGTTGTAAGGGACTCTCTCTAGTGGAAAAGGTTGTGAATTACATGTGCATGATCCAGAGTGAGGATTTTGTTAGGAGTTTGTTACAAATATTGATGAGCACAAGTCGGTCTTTAAAGTGACTGATGGAATGATCTCATGTCAACACTGGCAGTGACAATGTAGGGATTGATTTATAATGGACAAGTTATGTTTATTACTTTTTTTCGTTTTCATTATCATGAAAGCTGCAGGTCCAAGCTTTACTTTTTTACCATATTCAGTTAAGAGCTTTGTTTGTGTGTGTGTGTGTGTGTGTGTGGTGTGTGTGTGTGTGTGTGTGTGTGTGTGTGTGTGTGTGTGTGTGTGTGTGTGTGTCTCTTACTCTGCCTATGTAGGTGTGAATGTTAACTGTAATATTGAAACTTTTAATCGCAAACTAAACACAATTCTATTCAGTCTGGCTTTCTGTAGGTTTTTATGCACCTTTTAAAAAAAAGTATATATATTGATTTAAATGTTGTTTTTACGGTTTCATTTATCTTTATATATTCATCTTTTATTATTTAGCCATTAATTTTAAGTGCTTTTATTTATTTTTTAACTGTATCTTTACTCTCTTATTTATTTGAAACTCTTTACCTTTTTATTGCTTTAATTGCATAATATTTTATTCCTATTTGTGAGCATTAGCCTCTACTTCTGAATCCATTTGTGTTTGTACCATGTTTAGTCACTATTTCATGTAAAGCAATTTGAATTGCATTTGATTTGTATGAAAGGTGCTATATCAATAAAGCTTATTGACTGATTGATTTTTTAAAGTAAAATTATGATGTCAAGAGCACAGGCTACTTTATTTTCCTCTTCAGAGAACAACATAGCTGCCTGATAGAGTATGTTTTTACTTTGGAATACTCAGTACCAACATTATTTGCGCAGAGTGTGGTTGGGGATGTTAAGGCTTATACTTTAAATTCAATCTTCTATGTTGTCTCAGGGACTACAGATGTAAATTAGCTCATAGCTAACTCTGCTACAGCTAAGCGGATGTACAACGTCCCTTTAAAATAAACAAATAAATAAATGCAGTAACATGCTCATTCCCAACAAAGCCAACTATCCAACACTTATTTTTATGCCTTTTAAAATGTTTTATTGTTATTCACAGAACAGAAATCTAAGCACAAAAAAATCAAATACAATCTTTGTTGAATCACTCAAGATGTGAAACAAGTAGTCAAATAATTGTCTCAAACAACAGCCGAGTCAACTGTAACTGACAAGAAACGTAACCTGCAGAGCTTCTTGCAGTGCATAGAGAGACTTGTAGTAGAAAATTACAATAAATAGAAATAATCTAATGTAGTATACATATTTCTTTGAGGAATTTTCCAGCATTCTTTGTCTGACAAACAAGGTGACCTACAGGTGTCCAGCACTAGTGGAAATAAACATTTTTCAATTCAACACTTTCCCCCTCATCAGTCCATTTTACAGCTCGTTCAATCATCTCCCGGCATCTCATGGAGTGATGTTTGTGTGTGTTGTTGGATGTCGATGCAGACCACCTCATCAACAGTTGAGCATGGAGTTGGTCCTCATGATGCGAATGACCTTTCTCGAGGTGTAACTGTACTCGTACTGCATGTGTTCATGGAAGAAATACAAGTACCCTGAAAGACGACAGAGCGGGAATCAGTTAAAGCAGCTTGGTGTTAGAGTCTGGAAAAAATACATCTTTTGTATGCTTTAAAGGCTTTATATGTGATTTTTTGATCCAGCAGATGTCGCCCTTGAGCACCAGCATGAAACCAAAACAACTCGCGCTGCATTGTTGTGTTAGCATGCTAATGCTAGTGATCTTTATTATGCTCGTATCTTCACACTGCATGTAAATTTACCTGAAACGAGTGTGATCTAGAAACACAGTTAAGCAGTGAGTACAGTATGTTATTCTTCTTTCTCTAGTCCCTCAATTAAACAACTTTTATACACGAGGGGAGGAGTCAGCCGGCCGTCCTGACGATGTAAACAAAGTGAAGATAGGACTCTGAAAACTCTGAAAACATCACAGACAGTGGGACTCGGGTGTTACACCCATTGTAGACAGTCATGACTCACAGAGTTATTTTCATTTCAAGGATATACTTGATTTATATTATATTTAAGTGTGAAAAATCACATATAAAACCTTTAACTTTTATGAAAAAGTATTGAGAATTTCTTATACCATGGTGATAAGCAGCGGCATCAACCTCATCATCCATCCCAGGGAAATCTTCCTCAATGGGTTGTGGGTAGCCAGTGTCCATGGTGCCTGTGGCTTCATCATAACTGTGTTGAAACAATGAGAATGAATGTGGAAAATGTGGCTTAGTCAATTTCCTAAGAACATTCTTCTAAGCAGATTGGAGAAGTTTTCTTTGAATGAAATGCACAATAAAACTAATCCCTGCTCTCATACCTCCAATAGTCCTCATCGGTGAACAGCAAAGTTTTCCCGGTATCTCCAATGTGCACGGCCGCATCTATCTTCCGTATTTTCTTGGGAAGTCCAAGTTTATGTATGTACTTTGGGTAACCATCCACAAGGTTATATCCATTCAAAGCCCAAATTTTGATCCCTGAGGAAACACAAAGCTGAGTTTTCTACCATGCATACTGTTTCTAGCATCTGAAAAATAATCATACAATTTAATCTCAAATATTGTTCTTCTGTAAAAACCCACCACTGAATATCATGACAATATCCTTCTCTGCATTCTCATATGCTGCGTCTATCTTGTTAGGAATCGACGGCCAAGTGGACTTGATCAGCGTCTGCTCAGGCTCTGGCATCTGAGGGTGGAGACGCCAGTAGAATCTAGAAAAAAGTAAGCCAGATATTAATAGCAGCCAAAAGCTCTACAAATGAACACAATGCATGGTAAAATACGGTCTTAGAGGCAGAATAATCAACTTCTTCTGCCACATTTTCTTGTGGCCTAAGTATATTAGTTTAACCCATGACAATGAATGAGAATAAAATAGGTTTTATGGATTACATCATGGACCAACCATACCTGTCTTTGAAGATGATGGTTTCCCCTCTGAGCTCTGTTACAGCGTCAAAGGTTAGCATGGGGTCACATTTGTCTGGTGCATCAGGTTTAGGCTTCACTTTTCTTTGGTTTGGGTTTGGACCTGTAAAAGATCTGGAATCATTACATTGCACACATTATATTTCTCCTAAACCACAAGACAATTCTACAAAAGGCTTCTCCTCAAGTACAATCTAACTTTTGAATTTAAGTTGTTAAGTTAATGATCAATATAAGATCTTTTCCAACCATAGAGCGCCTGAATGCCTTCAATGTCGTCCTCAGCCAGTGGGTAGCCTGTAGCGTAAGAGTAGACGGGGTACATCAGAGCCCCCGCGTCCGAGGAGTGGGACATACCAAGCGCGTGACCCAACTCATGGGCCGCCACTATAAACAAGTTGTAAGCTGTGGGGTAGAAGGGCTCAGTCAAAATACTGTTCAAATAGGCCTCACTTGTTTCTCAATGATAGCTTTAGACAAAGTTTAGTGATGTATGTTGAATGTTAAAATGGCTAACTTGATGAGTCCTTGCTCCAGTGTTCATCCTCATCAAAGTGAGTGTCTCCTCCGATGCCTTGGCCGGGTGGGTAGGCGTGAGCCAGCAGGCCATTAGGTCCGTCAAAAGGGTTGAAGTCTCCATGCTCTACAGAGTACAGACCAGATCATTATATACTGAGCAGGATGTAATGGTTCTTTAAAGGCCGGGCAGCTGCAGTGTAGAACACAACAATAACATGTAATTTTGTGTATTTATTCAAAAGATATCCATTTGGATTTTTGTACCTTTTGAGCCAAAACTGATCATGATGTCAGCGATGCCACTGTGCAGCTTCTTAAAGGTCAGAGGGGTGACATCAGACCAAACATTCAGTGCATTGCGGATGGCTCTGTCTACATCAGACTTTTTCAAATCTGGTGTATAATTTGTTATTCTGAAAGCGTAAAAAAGGATTATTATGAAATAAATGAAAGTGGACATTTCTCTCTCTGAATACCTCAACTACTTCCAAAAATATTTGTGTCATCATTTCTCCTTTGTTTAATTATATGCACAGTACGAGGTTAATGCATACCTGAAAGTGACATTGTTGTTTTGCCATTTAAGGTGTCGAGGGAAGTGGTTGTACTCCCCGATGTCTGGCACACCACATCTGGCCTGCTTCATCAGCTCCACAGTGTTGTCATCCAGATTCCCCGTCACCTTCAGAGGCAGAAGAGAGAGATTAGTCTCCACCCTCTCAGAACTCACAAAGAAGAAAAGTCCTTGATATTTTTCAAGTCCTTCTGGGTCATTTTCTTTATTTTGACTTCTTCAGTTGATTGCAATATTGAAGTGAACTTCTTGCACTGTTTTTTTAGGTTATCTTTTGTACATCTTTATATTTATACAAAACATTTCGCAATGCAAGAAAAAACAAGCCTCGATTCAACTCAACTTATTTCAAATTATTTCCTTGAAAAGAAAAAGAAACGTAAAACTTTGCAGTTTTAATGTACACCTTATGAAATTAATGAATGAATGAATGAATCAACTCTATCTTTGCTTCCCCAATTACACAAGAGGAGCACATCACAACAACACATGGTGGTTGGTAAATCACCAATGAAATATTACAGCTGAAGACGTTCTCCTTCTTCAAAAAGTCAAACTCAGCTGTTGCATTAACAATGCTCAAGGAAACAACAGTTCTTCTTTACTGTTCAAGCAGGATTCTAGATGTGGTCACCTTGAGTTTGAAGAAGCTCTGCATCTCCTCGATCTTTGTCTTAAAGGCTCCTGATGAGCTATGTCTTCCCTGGAGACCAGCAGGAAGGCCATAGAACCGGCGGAGGTACTTCTGTTTTTTTGAGAGAGAACAAGAGATTAAAGACACTCATAACAATATACAACTTTAGGCATGGATTAATATATGAAAAAAAAACCTTGCTACACTTAATTCATGAATAACAGCCTTTTAGATCTCACCTCTGCTAAAAGCTGGTTGTCGTTGTCCCGGGGAGACAGAGGCAGAGGGAAGCAGTGAGGGACGAGCGCCAGCAGCAGCAGAGCTATCATTGTTGTTGTCTCTGTGACATCCAAAGCACTCATTGGGGTCCAAAACCTCTGCAGGATATTTATGGAGTTTTAGGTTGACTTTTTTTTTTTTTTCAAAGGAGCCTTGTGATTCATGTAAAAGCACCTAGCCACTTCCTCCTCTGTCTGCTGAGAATGTGCATGTATCAGTAAAACTACAGTTGCTGTGGTTTGAGTGAACTCCTTTGAACCCACTCACTCATTTCCCATATTACCACGATCTAAGGAGTATGATAATGGAGTTATTGGAAATGCTGCTAAGGAAAAAAAAAAGTGCAGCTTGCATTTGGTATTTTTGTTATGTTATATCTTGTTCTTGGATTAAAAAATATGACCCTTTGTAGATAACTTACTCGACATATTTATTTCATGAAAAAGTCACATAACTATTTTTTATTTATAAAACTTCTTACAGATCAAGGTCAAGAGTTTTTTATTAGTATTTAAAAAGGTCATTTGTTATGCAGACAGGAGAGTCAAAGTTCCAAAGATACATACAACACACAAACAGTAGTTCTTTTTAAAATATGTTTTATAGCAAAACTCTGAGAAAGAAAAATGGCTTTCTCCAAGAACATCATTTGGGTATTATTTCAAGCTGCTGGTCTCATTATAGTCATTCTGTCTTTTTTAGAATGAGTAGTGAACAAACAAAAAGGGATGATGAAAACAAAGAATTGAAGAGTAAAGTATATGATATAAAAGTCACCTTGGGAGATATTTGTTTGACTATTGACACTCTGACATTGACATTAGCACTCTAATACTGACAAACAATGAGTTAGTTTGACGAAAGCGTTTGTTTTTGCAACCATTCTGTCTGCTATTAATTGAAATCAGCGCTTCCTGACTTAGGTTTTTCCTCAAGTTGCCCTTCAGCACAATATGATTCAGAGTCACCAGAGTTACACAAAGCATGAATGACAAAATGAATGCGTAATTCTCTACAAGTGTTCTCAATCAGGAGGAACTGTAATTTACAAGATGTTTGAACCCCTGCTGTCCAACAACATATCACAATGATATGTTACATTCAGGATAATGTCTAAGATCAGACCACAGTTTAAGAAACAAAACCCCAAAGTAAACAGAAGAATAAAGCTGGGCACTGTTATTGTAAAAATGAAACACTAATTGGGGGACTGTTGGTTTGTATGCTGGTCCAGCAATTCAACTAAAATATATCTCAACAAACATTTATTTTAATAGAGACATTCTTTCTGCCCAGAGGTGCCAATTGACTAAAGTTAACCCCTAATTTCCTTTTGCATTCATTGGGTAACATTTAGTTTTTAAATGGAATAACACAGCTTTTGGAGAATTACTCTGAAATTACAGATGTTGCCCCGATGACTGTGGGAACTTTTAGTTTCAGGATCATTGGATCTAAATTTTTACTTTACACAATATTTTGTTTTTTTACAAACAAATATTCTACAAACTAATAACTATCTGTAAAACCTGAACCTTACTTTGTTCATTAACATGTGTAAGCATGGTAAAGAGCTGGATTTAAAGATGGTAAATGAAGCACTTGCTGAACATTAAAGTATTAGCACTGCCACATTGGGAATGTTAGCATGCCATTGCCATCATAAGCACGAAGCACTGATGTGTCTCACAGAGCTCATAGTGTGGCTGCAGACAGGTTGAAAAGGTCATGATGGCAGGAAATGGAAAAAGCATTTACAGCAGAGATTTTTAACAATTAAAAACAAATAAACCAAAAAGAAGTAAAGCCCTGGAGTGCTGAAGTCAGGTCAGGACACGCTACATACCTTAGTGTCAGTGTGAAGCTGCAAAGGTTTATAATTACTTGCTCCAGACACAATACTAGAATCATTTTTTTACATTATAGAAAATAATAACAATAACTCTATATTTAGAAACAATAAATACATTAGTGAGTATATGTCTTTACAAAAGCTCTCCACTTTAAATACACATTTAAAGATTTCTGCCCAAGAACAATTACAGTAAAGTAAAACGTCATGGACATCTGCATCCCATTTTGTGTGATGCATTACAAACATTTGCTCCAAACTCTTGAGCATTCTGTGTAGACAAATATTTTTGGAGCAACAACATGTTTAGATGATGGTCAACAGAGTGCTCCTGACTCACAGCGGGGGAAGTTCGCAACCGAGGGGATTTTTTTTCCCTGTTATTTTAAAATGTCACACACATACAATGTTGCTGTGAGGACAGAGTCGGGAGGCTGGTGTTTTCTCCCTGTGGATAAATGAGCACAGGGTTCACATGAATCTGTCTGCAGTGTGATTAATGCTCATTGCCATTGGATGTATAATATAATCATAAAAACAAAAGAAAACAAAAAAACAGGAAAACTGTCATCGTCTCCGTGTTTATTTTAGGTATTTCTAGGCTCATGTTAACAGATTTAGCTCAACATTTATAGACTTTTGATTTATTTTGGATATATCCCAGACTTTGGTAGATAACTATGTGATCCATTGAAATCTGGGTCCATGGGTTGGTCATAACCTGAACACTGATTTTCTATCTGTCCAGTGTGAAGCAATTCAAGAAGCAAAAGTTTGGTACTGTGTTCTAAAGGCCCTGACACACCAAGGAGATCATTGGCCGTTGGTCCTAGTTGGACCGTCGGTGAGCGGTCGTTGCTCTAGTTTTTGGTTGATTCGACATGTTGAATCGTCGGTGAGAGGAATCTCTCTGATTGGCTGTTCAGAGGTTTCATTTATCTCCCTCTCACACAGGTTATGTAAAGCCCCTTAAGCATGCCACCTCTTATTTTCTGCGGCCTTCGTTGCCACTCATTCTTTGCCGTCTGCTTGCTGTGTCAGGGCCTTAAGGTAAATGGGTAAATAGATTTGAGCTTATATAGCGCTTCTCTAATCTTCTGACTACTCAAAGCGCTTTGACACCGCATGACACACCTACACATTCACACAACTAATGGTAGAGGCTTCTATGTAAAGTGACTATCAGAAGTAACTAATCTCATTATACATATGCATACACCACTGAGGAAGCAGCGGGACATGTGGCTGCAGGAGCTGGGGATCGAACCCCCATCCTTTTGGTTTCCTTCCGACTCTACCAACTGAGCCACAGCTGCCCCAAGGCAGCATAAATATGGTACCACACAGGCAAACAAGAAACTGAAGGAACTGAAATAAAGTAGATGTCCTGGCCTTTTCAGCTGTATGTGTGTGTGTGTGTGTGTGTGTGTGTGTGTGTGTGTGTGTGTGTGTGTGTTGTAAATGTTGATGTGTTCATACTTCATTCCTCAGATATATCAGAGGATGGATTCTATTGAATATTGGCAACAGATGATTGAGAAATAATAAAGAGGTGCTGCTTGCATACAAACCTCATATCATCCTCCCACTCTCATCTGGTTCCTCAGCACTCTGAATCATTCCCTGACACACTAGAGGAGTGGATTAAGTCAATTCATATCAGTCATTCTATAGTTCCTTTGTGGTTTGTTGGTTTGCTGTCATTGCCTTCTGAGACTCTTTTAGATCCCTCACTGCATCAATCAACACATTGATTACATTCAGCTCAAGGCATTTTAGTTTCTGTTTGTTTATGTTGTAGTGCTTCCAAATGGTGTGATGGACTGGCCCATTGCTTATGGAGAATGGCACTGATTAGTGAAATCCTCAAATGTCACTGTTATACAACTTGGTTTAATCATTTTGTCCCGGAACATAGAAGAAGGCTTAAAAAAAAGCAGATGAAAGATTAGAAGGATAAAAGATTTGCTAAAGATTCTTTCATTCCTCATTAGATGCTGCTTTGGTTCACTTGAGGTAGTTCTATTGGTGCATAGCTATTTGACTTTAGTTGGTCAAATCCAGTTTAAAGATTGTTAAATGTGTTGTCACCATTTATAGCGGTCTGTAAACCAGTTGTCTCTTCATTTACGAAAGACAAAAATAAAGTATCAATCATGATTTGTAAGTTTTTTTTTTTTTTTTTTTACAATTTATTCTTATCAATGTAAAGATTATAGTTTTGGGTACCCTTTGGAAATGTAAGGTTGAACTTTTGCCTTCAGAATGTGATTAATGGCCTTTGTCAGCCATGAGCCCCACAGATGATTATTCAGAGGGCTTTGTCTCAGTAGCAGAGTCAATCGTCTCTCAACCGGAAGGTCGTGGGTTCGATCCCCAGCTCCTGCAGCCACATGTCTGATGTGTCTTTGGGCAAGAATATCCTGCTGCTTTTTTGGCTGTGTGTGAATGTCTATGAATGGAATTAGTTAATACTGATGGTCACTTTACATAGCCATCAGTGTGTGAATCGATGAGAATGGGTAGGTGTGACCTGTGTTGTAAAATGCACTTTTAGTATTCAGAAGACTAAAATAGCACTACACAAGCTCAAGTTAATTTTCCATTTACCAAGTCCATAAAGTGTGTTGAGGTTGCAGAAAGAGAAAATGATAATTTTTGCTAGTTACTAGATGGGGATGGCCAAAACGCAACACTTGCGTGTTGTCCACAATGAGGTTAGAGATGTTATGGTCTTATTTAATTGTCTGAAATTTTGTCTAATGGGGTCCCACAGGGTTCAGTTCTGGGTCCAACTCTGTTTTACATTTAAACGCTTCCTCTTGTGACATCATCTGCAAATATAAAATCCATTTTCATTGTTATGTTGATGACTCACAATTGTATGTCCCAAATACATCTGGTGACCAGTCGAATATAGCTTCTCTTACTCATTGTCTCTAAGAAATAAAATCACGGATGACAGACAACTTCCTTCAGCTAAACCATACAAAATCAGAAACAATTGTTATCGTTCCCCCTGCAAAGAGAAAATAAATCATACCACAGCTTCATTTATGGTGCTTTCATGAACACATTCTGATTCTGTTCAACCTAAAATCAACATATATGTGCTTTTGTACCCATTAAAACTCTTAGGGATCTGAAAGGATTTTTTTTAGGTTGTTTTATACAAATGCTAAATAAAAGGACCATTTCTTATTACTTCAATGATCAATTATGTACTGAAGTTATGCATCAATTGCTAATGCTTTTTACATGTAAGCAATCAACTTAGAATGTAAACAAATGCAATGAAACTAATGCAAAATATTGAAAATAGTTTCTGAACTAGACATCCAGCAGACTGCAAGCTATGGGAATATTGATTTGCTGTTGGTACATGTGAGGCAGACAATGCATTAACCTTTAATACCACAATATTTTACCAATACACCTAACCATAGAATTAAAGTTATTTAGTTAGTTATTCACAAAAAAGACTGCGTCACTATTAAGTGATCACAATGACGCAGGAGCTGACTAAACAGCTTGGAAATAATTTAACACATATTTTACACTGAATATTTCTCTGGTCAAAAAAAATGGAAGCCTAGTAAATGTGTTATAATATTGACATGGGTCATGGCTATGAAGCAGTTAGATTTAGACGGATCACTCAAACTGTAACTTAATCATGAGTATCCATAAAAAAATGACCCAAAATGTCTTGAATTAACATGCTGAGCAACTGCAGTTGGTGAGCAAACATTCAAGTTTCAAACCACAGTGACTGTGGTTTGAATGTTCAGGCCCATTCAGCAAAATATAGAAACCACACATACTGAAGAGATACCACAGGAGGGCAGCAGAGAATCTAGCAAGACTTTGGCCTCTGGTCCCCTGGGTCCTGTGCAGGACTCTTATTTCTCCTGCAGAGATGTTAAAACAGAATTACATTTTGGTGCAGCTAGAGGGTGTTGATGTGTTTTAAACTATCCAATATTCTGTGCCCTTTATGGCATGTGTGGTGACTGAATGACTACTCTACACAGTATTAATTTACCATTTACAAAGTATTATAAACATCAGCTGTGACTTTACAATAGATAGATAATGATTGTAGATGGTTTTCAAACCAATTATTAGCCACTGATTATGTATTAATTATCTGTCTATGTTTATGTTTATAGATGCTTTACAAAGTATCAATAAAGTATTATAATCTGCAGTTCCAACTTTATAATATCCATCCAAATAATGTTAATAGACAGTATACAAATCTATTATTGACATGAAAAAAAATCTGCTCCATGTGTCTCTGTAATGTTTATACATGTTTTATAAACCATCTCTTAAAGGTTTACACATCATTTGGTCATCATTATCAAACAGAGTGTATAAAATGTTATAATGTGTGCAACAATAAACTGTTATCATAACATTAATTATATTGATCATTATCGTTGTTTGTTAACAGTTAATTAACCTTTAGTCAATAGTTATTTTAATATCAATTTACCCTTTATTGATGATGGTCATTATAAAGTGTTACCAAATGTTGTTTTCATTGGCCCTAATCCTCTTCTTTAAATTTCTATGTGATCAATTATGTTTACTTGTTTTCTTGTAAAAAAAAACACACACACAGTGGTTAGTTGGTTAGTCCCATTTGTCTCAGATAAGGATTGAATTAGGAGAGTATCGCAGGTTGTGCATGGTACTTTTCAGAGTTCAAGCAGTTACTTCAGGGGCATCTGTGGCCAGTTGGTAAAGCCAGTCAATCCCCAGCTCCTGCAGCAACATGTCCGATGAGTCCTTGGGCAAAAGATTTAAAACCAAACACAAGCTCAAGTCTAGTTAACATTTCTTTGATGCCTCCAATGATGCTGTGAATTGAACATCATACTGTTTGCCGTTCTGTTTAAAAGGTTGTTTATCAGAGCTTCTGTGTCATAGTGTGTAGAATTGTAAAACCAAACTACATTTGCCAATTTCTAATATCAATTTAGCGTGATGTTGTGACTCTGTCTGTGAAAACATGAAGCACAAGACTCAGTCTTGTCGTTGTTTATGATCTTGCTCTTTCTGTTTTACTTAGTTTTATTGTATGATAGTTTGTATTCTGTACTGTTCTGTATGTTTTTTTGTTGTTGTGCTTCTTTGGTACTGTTTAATGCTATAAATAAATTCTGTAGTGTGTGGCTACGGTTTATTTTCCCCATACTTGTCCCTCTACAAATAAATATGAAATAAAATCATACGTTATTTAAATCTACATTAATTGGTCTATGCCTTATTTATGAACCCAGATGCCAGGCACTGAGAGCTATGTTTTGTTATGCTGACTCTCAGAAGCCTCATCAGTATTAGTCATACTTGATGATGTAATGTTTCTTAAATAAGAACTACTGCACAATCATCATTATAAAAAAAAAGATGCTTTCCAAGACGACCAGTGCTCTTCTCGACTTCTTGTTCTGATGTGAAACATCTGTGGCATATCGTGAGCGTGATAATGTAAGTTCGGGGCAAAGCAATGTTTCTATTGGTTTTAATTACCTGAGCGGTCTCCCCGAGCTTGTAGCTCCAAACTCCACATTCACTCATCACTTCTGCTCAAAATGACTTCATTACCTCGTCTATAACCAGACCATAAAACCAGTGCGACACAGCTCTTCAAGTCCATCTACAAAAGAAGTGCAGCAAACTGTGGAAAACTTAACTCATACACTGCCCTGCACAGGAATGCTGATGGTCCCATAAAGCTCCACAATGACCAATCAACCGTAATTGTAGCCTTAATTTACCACGGCACCACCCTTGCCAATGTAAGTGGCCTGGCTGGCAGCCATTTTTCGTTTTGGAAGGACTTAAATCCACCCCTGCAATTTCAGTTCCCCTTTCAGTAAACTCTCTCATTGAAAGGTCTTACATGCATCTGCCACTAAAATGAGACAGGAATGGCCTCTGACAGTGTTATTTCAGGAGTCCCTGTAGAATGCGTGGGACTGAACTTGCCACCCAGCTCATTGTGTTTCATCAGTCTGTAGTTTTGTTAAGGTTTTGCTCCAGGATCTCTGCTGAAGAAAGCATCTACTCAATAACAGACATTTTGATTGTAGAATATTTAACATGTTTTTGGCAAACATAGCCATGGTTAAGAACATGTTCTGCAGAAAGAACCTCGCTTCTGTGTTGCTCCATATTGCAGTGTCACCAGTTTTTTGTGATTATCTTTGAGTCAGCTGATTTCACATTTAATCTATGAATTTGGTGCCTTTTCTCGTCATTATGTTACTTTTATTATAGCTGATTCAATGGATTTCTGTCCTATGTTTGCATTTCATTTTGAAAACAATGTTCAAGCCATACCCTGCTTATGTTATCCTTAACATCACCATTGGAGCAAACATGTCATGTGACAAAAAAAAAGAAAAGAAGTTCACATGTCATGTTCTTTCCTTTTTTATTGTCGCTGTTTCTTGGCTGTCTGTAAAACCCCTCCCTAATTCCATACTACTGTCTGAGGCTTCCCTTGGATTTGTAAGCACTATGAGTCACAATAACCATTTAAAAGGCTATCTCATTAAACAGAACTTCCATCTCCATGTGTTTGAACTAGGTCACTGCAGTTCACGTAGTTTTAAGTCTGTGAAATGCATGTCATGGTCCTCTCCTGCTGTGTCCTGGTCTTGCTTATGGCCAGCCTGACTTTATCAGCGCCCACATTTACGCCGGAGGTAACAAGCTCTCCTTCAACAGAACCACAGGTTGACTTGAAGCTGGCCACTGTAAGTGCATGATTGCATGAGCTGCTTTACAAATTTTTATTAGATAGAATGTATGTGACTTGCTCTTTTGTTGAAAAGCACATTTTAAACGTGTTTTTGTTGAGGGATAACAAAATTGAATGGATCTGTTCTCACCTGTGTGGAATTTGGCTATAATGCTCTTTTTTTATTTCCTTTGTGTTTGTGTGGGTGGGGAGCAGAGATAAATAACTGTATCATCCTGTAAGTCTCTATGGAAGTATTTGTGCATACTTTTGGTATATTTTCAGCATCTAAATCCCCCCCTTATTTTCTAATTTTCTTTTCTTAAGAAGAACACTTTTGGGAAAGCAGTCTGCATGGAAATTGATTATAAAGATCTTCATCCAGTTTTTTTGTTGTTAAAGTTTTATAATTACACTGTCTTATAGACTGCAGTTGATGCTGTCAATCTGATCACCCAAGGGTGAAGAAAAAAATGTTCATGTAAAATCTATGAATAAATAAAGTTAGCTATTTGACGAATGATGCAAAATAAGATCAAAAATAAGTAATGTACTGTAATGTATGCTGCACAAAAGCAGGCCATCCATGATGGGAATACAGCTTTCTACCTTGGCATTATGTAGCTGTGCTAGATTAGTTAATTTACCTGTTTTTTTTTTCACCACAAAAGTTTTTCATGTGGATCTGGAATATTCTCTTAGGAATACCTTCAGCAGTACTACAACTTGCAAAAAGATCCTCTGGGGCGCATGAAAAGAAGCGGGGCCTCTTTTGCATCTAAGGTGAAAGAAATGCAGGTATTTTTTGGCCTCAATACATCGGGTGCTCTGGACTTTGACACCTTGGAGCTGATGAGGAGCCCTCGATGTGGAGTTCCAGATGTGGAAGAGTACAGCCACATCCAGGGGACACGATGGAACAAGAATGTAATCACCTACAGGTATTTATGTGACGTTTATTTACTCTTCATAATCAAGACGCAATCACTCTTTTTTATGTTTGTGTATTAGTGGAATTAAAATCTGTATATAAAACATGTATCCTGCCTGACCCAGACTGACACAGCTAAAAAAAATAGAACATTCATTGCCTTTAAAATGTAAACCAGCAGGCAATAAAACCTTTGGCAGGAATAGGGAATAGCAGCTGTCAGACAGGATCATTGCAAAAGATTTTTGGGTTTGGGACTCCTGCCTTTGAGGGTTATTATGGGCTTGTTAAAGTGCCAAGTTCACCATACATGCTTGAATTTATGTAACACTGTCTGAAACGTTGTTCTGCTTCTCTCTGAGTTCTGCCTGCAGGATAAGTTAAAGACTAAATGTATAATTAAGGGGGAATAAAATATGGCATTTCTAAATGTGTTTTTTTTAAATGTTTAAACATATACAGAGTACATGTTTTGTCAACTTTGGGTACATTGGGCTTTAGGTGGATAATGTTAAAGCAGCAGCTGTCAATAAAATCAGATTTGTCTGTCTGTATTGTTGAACAACAACTTGATATTTACTCATTGCTGCTGCAGCATCGGCACATACACCAGAGATATGCCTCGCAGCGCTGTGGACTCCTTGATTGACTCAGCGTTCAGCGTCTGGGCCAGAGCCAGCAGTCTGACTTTTGTCAGGTCGCACACCAGCAACGTTGACATCATGGTGGAGTTTGTGACCTATGGTGGGTTTTCACTTTCTTAACACACAGTTCAGGGACAGAAGCGCTTTGGAAGTGAGATACGTCCATATTACATTGCTTAGTGATGAAATGTAGTGCAGGACATTTTAGTTAAGTGATGAATGATGTATTATATAAAAACACCACTGGTAAACACATAGGGAGCTACAGTAGTAATTTAACTTCTAACCAAAGCACAGTCATCACGTACTGGCTCAAGGGCCCTGAGATTTATTTTGACATGAAAAGAGGATGGTTTTCTCTGTGGTTCTCATGACATCCCTGCATTATGAAGAACATGGCGACTTGTATCCATTCGACGGACCCGGAGGCACACTGGCTCATGCTTTCGGTCCAGGGTTGGGAGTTGGAGGAGACACTCACTTTGATGATGCTGAGCACTGGACAGCTGGAGAAACAGGTGCAGAACTGAATTACACTGGCACTACATGATGACACTGCAGGATATTAACAGATAAGAGAGGAACTCATCGATTTGAATGCATCTTCCATGCAGGTTTTAATCTGTTTGTTGTGGCTGCACATGAATTTGGCCATGCTCTGGGCCTAAAGCACTCCAGTAATCCAGAGTCACTGATGTATCCAACCTACAAATCCTCTTGTCCAGCCAGCGTACTATCAAGTGAAGATGTAGCAAATATCAATGCACTTTACGGTAAACAACTTTGCCTATTTGAAATTTATTGAACTATTAATGTAGAATAAACACAATTTTTGTTTTTATTAAAGAGAAACTTGATTCCTAAGTTTGTTCCGATGTGTCAGGTCCAGTCAGAGGTCGTGCAAATTACTTGTTGAGATACGGCTGGAGCCCTCAGCAGCAAAGCCCCTGGCAGTCAGGATCGCTGTTCCCCCAACTCATGCAGAATAAATGTGACCCAGACCTGACGTTTGACGCTGTCTCCACTCTCGGGGATGCCACCTTCTTTTTCAAAGGAAGGTATGCTGTACATATTTTTCGATCTTTAATTTGGAACTTTTATTTATAAAAAATACATCTTCTCTTAGGAAGAGAAAAAAAGACAAATGTAATGCTTTTCATCTCTGAAACGGGTAATGGTTCACATACATTATATACCTTCCCTTTTAGGTGTAGTGTTAATTCATTTTCCAGGATTTTGTGTATTTTAGCATATCTGATCAGCTCTTAAGATATCTTGATAATGACCCCTGTTGCATCCCACAATAATTGGTTACTAAACCTTGGAGTTAATGTAAAATGTTTCTCCACAAGATATCTCTGGATTAAACATAATGAGCAATACGACATCAAAGAAGGACCCATAACCAACTTCATGCCCAAGATTGAAACCAACATCGATGCTGTCTTCTGGGTGCCTCGCAGATCCACAGCTTACCTCATTCATGGTAACAGTGTTTTAATAATTCAGTGTAGAAGCAAACATCCTCTAAAAGTGACTCTAATCCCATTTCTACACAGAATCAAACTAAGTCATTAACTGAACAATTTAAACAAAAGATATCTGCTGTTTGTTTTTGATTGTTGTCGACAGAATCCATGTTCTGGACAGTGAAAGGCTCTCTTGTGAAGGGAAAGCCTCGAGCTCTCAGCCACTTTGGATTTCCAGCCTGGGTCCAGGATGTTGATGCAGCGGTCCACATAGTGAAAATAGGACGCACGCTCTTCTTCATGCATGATATTTACTGGAGGTAAGGCAACAACAGAGCCACATAATCCAGTTACTTATAGTCACACAAGTCATGGCAATCTTTCAATCTTGCAGGTTAATATTAGCCATATTAGACCAGTGTTACTTCTTTTTATGCACTTAACCACAGAGTATTCTACTTATCTAACTTTAGTTGTTCATTTATATTAAAAACTGTTAAGTTGATGCACTGACAGAATAGAAATGCTCATGTTTTGTATCCTAAGAGACTTTTTCCAGTGAGTTGTATAATTCATAAGCAAGATACACATTCATGCGTGTGTACTACAGCTTGACTTGAATAAAGGTTAATTGCACTATAAAAAAGTTGTGTAAGATCTTACAGAGAGATTTCGTGTCATTTGGACCTCACAGAGAGCAAAAAGGGTTGTCTTTACTTTGATAGAGGAACATGATTATGAGTCATGACTTCTGACAAATGTTTGTATCGTGCATTTTTCAGCTACAATGAAAACCGAAGGGTCATGGACTTTGGTTATCCAAAGTACATCAGTGAGGATTTTCCTGGAGTCAACACAACAATAAACGCAGCTGTTCATAAAGATGGTGAGAAATGATTATCACCCACTGTACTGCATGTTAACCTCATTATTCAGATCTACTTATGAAACATGAAATACATCTAAACAGGGCAATATTTGGATCAAATTGAACTGATTTGCAGAGTCTAGTTAGCAGGTAGTTTACTTCTGTGTGTAGACAAAGGGGCGTGATTGTTACTTTTATTGTTATAGCTCAGAAAATGCTAATTTACATGAGCTTAGTGTAGGGACGATTTCAAAGAGCATGTGGTTCCCCTCTGTGATTAAAATGCTCAAATTTTTCCACTTTACCACATGAATCCCTTCATGTGATAAAATGTTGTTTTCACTGTGAGTGAAAGTGGTAATCTAAGTTCAGAAAGATGCTCATCATCATCACCATCGTAATCATCATCATCATCATCATCATAATCATCGTCATCAACAACCACACACAAAATCAAAATCATTCCAGTTCCAATTTTCTTTCCTGTCTTAGGTTTCCTCTTCTTTTTTGTCGGTCCAGAAGTCTACAAATACGATTACACCCAGAGGCATGTTGTCGGTGTTGAGAAAGCAAATTCCTGGCTTGGATGTTTAAATACTGTAAATCCCTGAAGGTGCAACATGGGTTTACCTTCATTTATAAAATATCTGACACAAGAAAAAAACACTGTGCTCCTTCAGTTTTGAGTTTTATTTATCACTTGTAATTGTTTTTTGAAATAAAAGGTTCCAATTCAACCTTGACATTTGTTTGTTTTGTTATATGTTGTCCACATACAGATGTTGCTGCACTAGGTTCACTATGTAAAAATGGGCCTTAGATGTACAGCAATATCTAAAAAGTCATCTGGCATATGGGCATCTTGGATTTGTAAAGAATGTGTAAGTCTAATTCCTTTCTCTATACTTGATGATGATGAATTTGCCTCCTACCTGATGGACAGCCATGACTCAAAACACATAGACATTGACAATATGCTGTTTAACCCATTTGAATTAAATCATGAAAAATACATTTTTCTCAACAAACTCTAATCTAGGCCCTTGTCACTACTATAGAGAAAGCCAGTTTAATGCCTATATCAAATCACTTTCAACAAAATCAAATATTTTTTCACTATTGCATTTCAATAAGCCTTTCAAAAAACTATGACCAGCCTTTGCATTATCTATCACTCTTAGAACATGACTTCTCAGTAGTTGCTTTAACAAAAACGTGGCTTACTGAAGAAACTAAGGATTTATATGAACTGTCTATGTATAACTCTATTCATTTTGTTAGGGAACATAAAATCGGAGGTGGTGTTTCAGTTTATGTCCATAAAAAACACAGTTTTAAGAATAGATCTGATCTTTCCCTCAAATCTGATCAAATTGATACAGAATCAGTGTTTATTTAAAATTCTTGTGAAAAATGTGATTGTAGGCTGTATTTACAGACCACCAGACACAGACATAAATAGTTTTAATGATAGCATGAACACTACACTGGAACTAATAAATAAGGAGGGGGAAACCTGCTACATCCTTGGGGACTTTAATATCAACCTTTTTAAGGGGGAAATTCACTGTCCGACTGACGATTTCCTGAATAATTTATATGCAAATTATTTTTATCCACCCATTAGTAAACCAACCAGGGTAACAAATAAAACGCAACTTTGATTGATAATATACTGACAAATTCTATGCAGAATATGTCAGTTCCAGGAATATTATATTCAGATATTTCAGATCATTTTCCAGTATTCCAACTTACAATGATGGATGGAGTTAAGACCAAAAATGAAGTTGTCACAGGAACTTATAGGAAATTCAATGCGAGTAACATACGCAAATTTCAAGATATGTTGGAAAAGGTATCTTTTGAAAACGTTTATAAGGAGAGTGATGCTAATTTGGCTTACAATATATTTATGAACTCATTTAATTCAGTATACTATAAAAGTTTTCCTTTAGTAACTTGCTCAAAAAGGTTGGATAAAGACAATAATTATAATGCTTGGTTTACTGCTGGCTTGAAAAAATCATCAAAATAAAATACTCTATAAAAGATATATTTTATGTCCTATACCCCTAAATCAAGCAAATTATAAATTGTATAAGAATAAATATAATCATCTTCTTAGAGTAGCCAAGAAATGCTTTTTCAGTCAGCTGTTCAAGAATTCTGCAAGGAACATCAGAGCTACATGGAAAAGTTTTTTGTGAATGTGGGAACTTCCATCTCTAAGCAGTTTGGAAACACAAATGAAAGTCCAACCAATCAGAGGTAGCTTTCCATCATTTTGCTCGTTTGAACCTCTTAACTGTAATGAGATAAATGACATTATTATAGAGCTAAAACAATCTGCCCCGGGTCATGACGGCATTAGTGCAACCCTTGTTAAAGAGGTAAAAAGATCAATATTGAAACCGCTGTTGCATGTTTTTACAATGTCCATGGAAACTGGTACTGTTCCTTCTGATCCTAAACTGGCAAAGGCTATTCCACTTTTTAAATCGGGTCATCCAGGACATTTTACAAACTACCGTCCCATCTCAGTTCTTCCATGCTTTTCCAAAATCTTAGAAAAACTAGTATATAAACGCATCCTCAAACATTTGAACATGCATTACTGTATGAACACCAGTATGGATTCCGAAAAAATCAACTAGTGGACAAGATTCATTCTGCATTAGAAAAGAAAGAGTTTTCATGTGGTATTTTTCTGGATCTCTCTAAAGCATTTGATGCTGTAAATCATGAAATTTTACTAGCTAAACTATATAGATATGGATTTAATGGAAATGTCCTGAAGTGGCTCAGTAATTATGTATATAACAGACAGCAGTATGTCAACATAAATGGTGTAGAGTCTGAGAGAACTATGATGCAGTGTGGGGTCCCACAAGGGTCCATTTTAGGACCGTTACTGTTTCTCATATAAATTAACGATCTAAACACAATATGCCCATTATTATTTGCAGATGATACTAATTTACTTGTCTCCAATAATAATTTGTCAGAACTCATGAATGAAGTAAATAATGGCCTTCTTGCATATTGAAAATGGTTTAAAACAAATAAATTGGCATTAAATGTGAAAAAAAAATATAACTTCATGATATTTGCTGGAAAAATGAAATATAACTCTGAAATGGTGAAATTGTATATAAATGATGAAGAAATTACTAAAGTAACATCAACAAGATTCTTAGGGATCTTAATTGATCTTAATTGATGGAAAGATCACATCAGCTTTGTCTGTAGTAAGGTTACAAAATCTCTAGGGATTATTAGAAAAAGTTGTGTTTTTTTACATTCTTCTTGTATATCAACATTATATTACAGCCTAATATATCCGTATCTTACTTATTGTAATATCGTATGGGCCAGCACTTTCCAAACATATCTTCATAAAATTCTATTACTCCAGAAGCGTTTTGTCAGAATGGCAACTTTCTCCAAGTCCTGTGATGCAACCTCCCCTCTTTTTCTGAAGTGTAACATATTGACAATTCTTCAAATAAGAAGCTTTATTTCTAAAGTTGAATACACGAGTGCAAACTTGCCAGAAAGCTTTAAAGCATTTTTAATTTTTAATTCTCAAGTGAATTATTACTCAACAAGACAAATCAATAACCTCTACCTACCAATGTGTCGTACATCTCGAGGACAGTACTCAATAAGATACTGTGGAGTCAAATTATGGAACACGCATATTCATTTACTTAATGATCTTTTGTCTTTTTCTAGATACAAATTAAGACTCAGAAATGCGTTGATGTCAGAAAGATTTGTCGTGAATAGTGAATTGTCCTGATTTTGTTATATTATCTACATACTGTATGTCCTGTTTTGCTCTATTTTTATGTTTTCAATGTTTGTACGTAATTTTCAATTGGGTAAATTTTATTTGTGATTGCTATTTTTACTGTATGTTATTTGAACTTTGTTTAATCTCTTAAGGTGAGGTTTTGAGATAAGCCCTCATGGGTTTCTACCTCACCTGCACGTGTTTTATTTTTTATTTGTTTTAATTTTCTGTTTGACTCTTCTTTCAAAAAATGTGCAAATAAACTAAACTAAACCAAACCAAAAACATTAAAAAGCTCCAAGCATCTTCTAGAGGAAACATGAAGCTCTTCGTCAGATGTACATTCCACCGTGTTTTGGAATGATATATGGATATGATGGCAGATGAGCGCAAACAGGGTTCTCCACACTGTGGTCTCAGGTTTCGACTTGTAAGTAGAATCTAAAGAATGAACATACAACCCTTTTGGCTTCTGCTTTCTTTTATTGTATATAAAACACACTGTACACATATATATTTAAACATTATAGACAGAAAGCCTAGACAAAGTATGTAGCTGTTTCCTTGGGAGGTTTGTAACCACAAACCCTGAAGAAAATTGGGGCAGGTATAGACCTGGCTATATGACTACATGCAGGATTGTATGCTTTTGGGCCATGTGACTGCTCAACAACCACAAGAATACTCCCATATAAAGTACGTGAAGTCTGGTGGAAATGTGCATTTAAAACATGGAGTTGTTCTGGATGTGGACCCCTGGTTTGTGGTCTCTGATGCTAGCAGGAATCTGGACTCTCCCCATCAATCAGGATCAGTGGCTGAGGCCCGAGGATGTGGAGCTGGCTGAGGTTTGTGGCTGAGAGTTTATAATAGACACAGATAGAACATGGAATCAGCAAGTTGTGAGATGGACTTTTTTGTCCATAAATATTAATATGAAAAAAAAGAAACATATTTATATTTATATAAGGCTGATGATCAAACTTATCTCTAGGTATTTGGATTGCAATGATTTTTGTAACTAATTTTCTAACAATCCTTTAAGGAATGTATCTGTTTTTAATTCAAATTTGATAGATTATATATTGTGCATTCAATGTGAATATTATCAGTGAGGGTTAACCCTAACTTTTACCAGGATTTATCTCGTCAGGAAAACTAATGTCATTAAATGTTTCTTTAAAGCGTATTGAACTTCGCATTTAACATATATAACTTGATATTAGCAAGATATATCAATGAAGCATTTACAGATGAATTTTAAAGACTTTGAGACATAAACTGAAGTCCTTTTCACAACAGAGCTACCTCAGCAGGTTTTACAATCTGAGTCCCAGCGGTGGAGTAAGAAGGCGGGTCAGGTCCACATCAGCCATGGAGGAGAAGATCAGAGAGATGCAACATTTCTTTGGTCTTAAGGAGACAGGCCGTCTGGACCGTAACACCCTGGACGTGATGAGGGAACCTAGGTGTGGCTTTCCAGATATAGAAAACTTTAGCTTTTACCCTGGAAAGCCTAAATGGAAGAACCACACCATCACATACATGTGAGACGGTTTGTTTATATCACAGATAACTCTTAACATTCACAATAATGATTTTGTGCGGATTGCATCTATATTGTACTTTTATTTATTTATTTTGTCTCAATCTGTGGAACTGACATACAGGATTGCAAAATACACTCCAGATATGAAGAGAGAGGACGTGGAAAAGTCCTTCAGTTCAGCCATCAAGATGTGGAGTGATGAATCACCCCTGAGGTTCATCAAAGTCAACCATGGCAAAGCTGATATCGTCTTCTCCTTTGCCGTTGGAAGTAAATCTGAAAATATCCCCTCTGAAGAATAGTAGAGATATATACTGCATATGTATATCTATACTAAAAAATGAGTGAAAAAAAAACACATTTATGGAAAAAAGACAAAGACAAACACAGCATGTACAGTGTTTATAACTTCTCTAATTCATTGTCTGAAAATGTGTTTTTTTTCCTGTTGCAGCTCATGGAGATTTCTTTCCCTTTGATGGACCCCGTGGTGTGCTGGCTCATGCTTTTCAGCCAGGAGAGGGGATGGGAGGAGACGTGCACTTTGATGAGGATGAAACATGGACAGCAGGGAAGCAAGGTGTGGCTGAAAGAAACAGAAAAAAAAAAGATAGTCAGAACTGTCTTTGTCCTTTGTACCTCTGATTGAGGTGTATCAATGTGTATTGATTATTATTTTTATTTTTTAAAGATATATTTTTGGGCTCTTAATGGAGAGATAGGACAGTGGATAGAGTTGAAAATCAGGGAGAGAGAGAGTAGGGTATGACATGCGGGAAAGGAGCCACAGGTGGGATTTGAACCTGGGCCGCCCGCTTGGAGGACCATAGCCTCCATACATACACTAACCACTGCGCCACCAGCGCCCCGTATTGATGATTATTAAGTCATATCTAAATATGCATTGCATTTCTCCATCATTCAAATGGGAGGATTGTTCTGCATAATTTGTTTTTCATTTTTGATACTTAAAGTATATTTTGCCAACAATAATTTTGCTTTCAAATAATAATATTACGACTGCAGGACTTCTTTCTGCATGCTTATTTTATCTATGTCACAAACAAAGGCAAACATCTGTCACTACTCTGAAACCTAAAATGTTTAACACTTCATGTCATGCCTCTCACTGCATCTGATCGACGCAACTCGTGCTCTGCAACATTCTTGAATAGTCCAAACTACAGACACATTTCAGTGTGGTCAAATTAGTCAAATTACTATACAGTCAGTTTTAATAACAGGTCTTGTGTGTGGCTATATTTCAGGGTACAGCCTGTTTGCTGTTGCAGCTCATGAGCTCGGACACTCACTGGGTTTGACTCACTCTCAAGACCGCTCTGCCATCATGTACCCCAACTACAGGTATCAAAGTAACACACAGTACTCCCTGTCCAAAGACGACGCGCTCGGGATCCAAGCACTGTATGGTGAGGAACTATGGGGAATAATTATCTGCTCAAAATATAAATAAAAGATGATCATTGGATAATGAACCATAATGTACATGCCATATCTACATTATTACATTTCCCATTCCATGTATCTCAGGAAAACCCACAAGACAAGAAGAAACACAAGCAGCCCCCCAAAAGTGTGACCCAAACTTTTCTTTCGACGCAGCAGTTATGATTTCAGATGAGATTGTATTTTTTAAAAACAGGTTTGTGTTTTGAATTATTCTTACAACAGTGCCTAAATATTGTTGAGATGCAACTGAGTCTTCTCATTGCTTTAACCTATAGGTACATGTGGATGAGAACCACTAAGACAACTTATTGGAATCGCCTGAGAGAGAGCCCCAGCGGTGCATATTTACCCAGCATCAGTTCTCGCGTTGACGCTGCTTATGACCTCCCTGCCAAAGGCGTGGCGTACATATTCACTGGTATAGTAATGAGCAGTCTGCAAAGTATCACTTAGACCTTGTCAGCATGACAGGGCTGGATTTCCAGTCGGAGAACACAACATTGCACCTAAATTACAGCCCTGTGCAACTTAAGTGTTGTAGTTCATGCAAGAGGCTTACTGAGTTAGGCTGTGCTTGTGGTATGTCCCAGAATGCAGTGACATGGCTGTGTGTTTTTTTTCCAGGTCATAAGTACTGGGTGGTTCAACGGCTTAAGATGAAAAGTCAAGCTGGCTCTATTTATGAATATGGCTTCTCGTCCAGAGTCCGGCAGGTTGACGCTGCAGTACACATCACTGAATATGGAAAAACAGTCTTCTTCATAGGAGAGGTTTATTACAGGTAACTTATTTTTAATAGTGAAACCACATCTTGTTTCATAGTTAGATTTCATTTTATTATTTGTTTGGATCATGTAATATACTAGAACATGGGCATTAACATCACTAACAGCTAAACCCACACAATAATCATCAATCATTATTTGACATTTTTCTATATCAACCATTCCAAAATCAACAAACCAATGTTTCTGAGTAAACCCAAAAGTGACCTTTGACCAGAAGAAGGTTTAAAAAATACATCTGCACTTAAAAATACAACTATGTCACACTGATGTTTCTGCAGTGAAATGATTGCTATTATCAATGACTTAACTCCAGGTTTGATGAGCGCAAGAGGATAATGGACCCTGGCTTCCCCAGACTCATCCAAACTGACTGGCCTGGTATCCCCAGAAGGGTCGATGCTGCCTTCAAGTTACAGGGTAACAAATACAGGAAAACAGTTTATGGTCTTGAAACTTTGTATAATGTGGGACAGCAATGGAATACATCTGAACATTTGTCTTGAGCCATATTAAGGTGCTAAGCATGCTGAGTTTACTGCACTGGACACACTATGAGGAAAATATAATTCAACAGTTTTAGAACAATGTGTTACAAAGTAGAAATCTTCTTTTCTCGTCTTTGTTCACATTACATTTCATTTGTCTTAAAAAACACTTATACGCTGTTTTTATGCTGTTTTTTCAACAGGTAGCATCTTCATCTTAAGTGGAACAAAGTCCTACCAGTATGACTTCAGAAAAAAACAAGTGGTGAATGTAATTTCAGCAAACTCCTGGTTAGGATGCTGAAACAGTCGTACTGTGTGCTCCTGAGAACACCACATACCTTTGAGCAACAACAGGAAAAAAAGGCCTTGAGCCTAATAAAGTTATTTTTGATGAACTGACACCAAACAACTGTTACCTATTCTTCATGTTGTGTGTATTCCTCTTTCTAAATGACATTTTCTACATCCCTCTCTGGTTCAGTGACACTGTACATGACTGGGATAAAAATAACTTGTGTTTATGTGTATGCGTATTATCTCACACAATGTGTACCTGTAACTCAGAGGATACTTTCAAAAGCTTACTAAATACATATATGTATGTGCTTGAGGATGTTTGTGTTATCCTAACTCTATTATATCTTAGTAAATTATATTATATCTTAGTAAATCTAAAACAATTTGATCATATTCTTCCTGTAAACTCAATAAATTATGTTTTTTTTCCTTCATAATTCTCAAAAGTTTCTGTACAACAAGCGTGTTTCTTCTTTTCTCTCATAACTTAGGTACATTTAGAAAATGACTCAGGTCTCAGTATTTAATTATTTTGCGATAATACTCAAAGAATCATTAAAATATTTTCTTTTTTAGCATTTCAATGTTGTACCAGGTTGTAGAGGAGCTGACTTTTACTGCTTCAGATAGATATCCTCTTTATTGTCATTGTATAAAAGAAGACAATGAAACTTTGTTGGCAGCAATCTTGTACAGCAGCATTTACAAAAACAGTTCACATATAGGCTAGTTATAGCTATAGATTGTTGTTTGAATGCATATGATAGATCTCAATTCAAACTAACAAATACATTCAGCTATAATAAAAACCTAGAGGGGAAATAATGCTCAACATAATGTGTAAGTCTCTGTTGAAGTTTTGGAAGATGGCTGTTAAACATGAGTTTTTTCTTGCCACTCTAACTTTGCTAAATGTTGCCTCTGTGTTCATGATGGAGTCATGTTGAGTCTTTGTAGATAATACAACAAAGAGTAAGGCCTTTTACCAGCTATTTTGTAAAGTATTTTGAGATAACATTAGATATTGATTGGTATTACAGTAAATCACATATTTTGTTATATTCATACCTACTTTCCACCACCACTCCAGAGTCGTTTTTTTTAAATGATATAAAAGCAGGCAGGTAGGTGTAGGTAATCTGTTTTTTGTCAACACATGAAATTAAAAGTCTCTCTTTTGTTGTTCTATTTCAAAGCAACCCTTACAACATTGGTCTACTGCAGTACATCATGCTCATGTTTACCCACCAAAACTGGACTGTGGCCACAGTCCAGAAGACGTTGTGAAAGAACTAAAAACAAACCACGGTTGACAAATCTTATCATGTTACTTCAGCATCTTTTGCACTATTTACCACTGCACTGTTTCATATTTAGTCATGTAAATAGTAATCTTTTCTTATTATGTTTATTGTTGATATTTAATGTTGTACCTGAACATAAGAGAGCACAGTTCACCAATGTTAAATTCCTTGTGTGTGTAAGCATACCTGGACAATAAATCTGATTCTGATTCTGAAATGGTTTCTTAAGTTTGTTAAACTGTCACAGAATGTAGTTTTTTTCAACACCAGGTGACAAATCATACTAATTTATGAAGGATTGTCTTTAATAATGCAGCTCAGAATTGGATATGGGCTTACATAGACCCAACGCATATAGATTTCACTCAATTATTTTAGTTATCTTAACTGTGCACATGTTGATATAAACTTGATTATTTATTCACTTTGGAAGAAATGAGTTTGAAAGGCTATCAAAGCATCCGATTAAATGAGACAGTAAAAAATCAAATATCTAGTTTCATCAGAGCATTTAAACTAATCATATCATCTCCTCCCACTGTGTTATCAGAGGGGCCACTGTTTACTCTCCCCTTTACCCTTTACACAGAGACTTGTTTTTACATTTACTGGGATCCACAAGGAGACTGCACACATCTATGAGGCTGTGATTACAACAATACAACATCTCAGGCTTCCAGGTCTTTATCTAAGGAGATGGAAAGAAATACACATTTTAACAACCTGTCTCTTGCTGGCTTTTGGATAGCTCTGTTGTGTTGTTTAGCCCTGTGTCATGCAGCACCTACCGTTGCTCCAACAGTTGCACCAGAGGACGAAGACCTGGCTGAGGTAATGCAGCACTTACTCAGCATACAGTTTCACGTTTTTATTTTATTATTGTGTCATACATAAATGTATATGCCCAGCCCACGTTGTTAAAACGTTGGATCAGAGTGCATAGTAGGACAATTAATTGTCACAAAACAAAAAGAGAAAACAAAAAGCAAAACAAACCCTAATTAAACAAAAAATCTTGCCTTCTTTTCCGAGCTTTTGAGACAAAATTAGAAAGCTTAAACACATCGAACTTTAATAGCCATTTCCAGTTTTTGCACAATGTTTCAGGTTTTTGACGAGCTATTTCATGAAACAAGAATTCTCTTAAATTGTCATATTTTGTACAATGCAATAGAAAATGGGACTCAGTTTCCACTTCGTCCAACTCACCCATCTCACAAAGTCTGTTTTCTTCTGGAATATATTTTTGAATCGACCACCTTCAATGGCCAGAGGGTGAACACCAGATCATACATTTGAGTGTGTTGGGACTGTCTGGACTAACCAGGTAAATAAAGGGATACAAGAATATGAATCACTTTTAATACGATCATGATGTCTCTCCTCGTACAGGGATACCTCTCTCAGTTCTACGATGATGTTGGGATGACAAACTCCTCAACCAGAAAGATCGTACTGAGAAACTTCACTGAGGATCTACAGTCCATGCAGTCTTTCTTTGGCCTTGAGGTATCAGTGAATAATAACTTTCAACACTGACAAGATTAATAGAAATCTTATCTCAAAACCTACAACATTTTTTAAATCTGATTTTGAAATGATCTGACCATCAGGTGACTGGTGTCTTGAACAATGAAACCATTGAGATGATGAAGGCACCCAGGTGTGGTGTGTCAGACATCAGCCGATATGGACACTTCGACGGGAAACCCAAATGGGAGAAAAGGCTGATTACATACAGGTAACTATATGGAGCATATTCATATTCTCAATACTTTACAGCCATCGTTTCATTGTTGTTGGTTGAATACATCACCGATGGACAATGGTGGTAATCCTGTTGTGACAACACACTATGTGATATGATTTGACAAGGATCACTCAGTACACTCCAGATCTGACCCAGAGACAAGTGGATGCAACCATTGCTCAGGCCTTCCAGATCTACAGTGATGTCATCCCTCTGGACTTTAAACAAATCAGCTCTGGTACTGCAGACATCATGATTCTCTTCAGGGGTGGATGTAAGGCTGGTTTTAACAAGATACACCCTTAACTTCTACTAGAAAATAAATAAAATTAAATGTGTCATCAGTCTATTCTTGTTGCTTTGTTTGGATGCAATTGATTTTTTTCCCTCTTTGTGAAAATGTGTTGCACTGCAGATCATGGGGACTTTTACCCCTTTGATGGCAGAGGTGGAGTCTTGGCTCATGCTAACTCTCCAGGCAGGGGTCAGGGAGGGGACACGCACTTTGATGATGATGAAGCCTGGACTCTCACCCAAAGAGGTAAATACCATTAGCTGTTCATTTTAGCAGAATCTGCCCTGTCAATCAATCAATCTTTATTTCTATAGCACATTTAAAACAACCTTGATTGACCAAGTGCTGTACAAGTGTAAAAAACACAATGTAAAAACAACATCTGGCAAGAATGATATGAAATGAAAACAGTGTATTTCCAAAAGCATTTTGGTTCTAAATTAGAGAAGCAAACTTTTTGGTTTGTGGGGAAAGAATGCTGATATATTAAATATTTTTGAAACATATTTTTTTATTGAGATTTTCAATTTTACACTTTCAATATAACAAAAGCTACACAGATATACTGACAAAACCAACACTTAAGATGCACTCAAGAACATTCACGACAAGGTACAATACCAGGCTTCGACAGGGCAATACAGCAAACTATTTTATACAAGTTAGTTTCTCAAGGACAACAATATAATGAGGAAAGCAAGAAAAACATAAATGATAATAATCAAGGCAAACAGGCATCTACATACTTTTCCCCTTTTATGAATTCCATAATAGAACCCCATATTTGCTTAAAATAAGAATGTTTTTCCTTAATCACCATAGTAAGTTTTTCTAAGGCAAGACTGTGTAGTAATCCTTCAAGCCACTACTGTAGGCTCGGTCTATTAACTGATTTATGCCGATATATTTAGTGCGATAAAAAAAAAATACAATTTCCTTGCTGAGGACATATGTCTGACTCTTTTCTTTTTAATTGCGGTGTTAAGGAGTGAATCTGCTGCTGGTGGCAGCTCATGAATTTGGCCATGCTCTGGGTCTGGATCACTCCAGGGACAAGCGTGCACTTATGTTCCCCACTTATCAATACGTCAACACAAATGGATACAGGCTGCCAGATGATGACAGGCGTGGGATTCAGGCCCTCTATGGTAAGCAAAAGCCTTTCACATAATGATATATATTTAGTATTGGATTGAATTGAAACAAGACCATTTCCATGCATTTAAAAAAATATATATTTGTAGATTGATGTTTGTTTTTGATGACAGAAGGCCAAATTTGGTAAATGAATTGGACTTTGAGCCTGTATAGCGCTTCTCAGGTCTTCTGACTACTAGTACAGAGGCTGCTACTTAAAATGTCCATCAGTATTAACATGCATTCACAATCACACGGCTGACAAAGCAGCAGGAGCTAATTGAGATGTCTTGCCCAAGTGGCTGCAGCGGGTGGGGATTAAACCCCCTACCTTATGGTTAAGAGATGACAGACTGTCCTACAGCTATAGTTAAGTAACTTCTGAGACTTTTCAAATCCATCTTCCAGGCAGCCGAACACCAGCTCCCACAACATCATCTAAACCTAAACCACGTCCTCGCCCAGAGCCTGAACCAGAGCCAGAGGAACCCACTGAGGATCCAAACCCCGACCCTCTACCCAACCCCGGAAGTGAGCAGTGCAGCCGCAGCCTGGTGTTTGACGCTGCTACCTCCATCAGGGGAGACCTGTTCTTTTTCAAAAATGGGTACCCTTTGAAAATGTGCTGTTCTGTTTTTAGGTAAGGAAAGTTGACATACATCTTTTTAATATTTCTTCTTGTAACACATACCAGATACTACTGGAGAAAAAGTTCGAGCTTCCAAGGTATTCGTTTAACCAAAGTGAACACAAAATGGTCAAGAATCCACTCCGTTGATGCTGCATATGAAGTCTCTTACAAGGATGTGGTGTATCTTTTTGAAGGTAATTTTCCTTGAAGGGACAAAATAGCATGCGATAAATTAAACTTTTAAAAAAGTATTAATTTTGGAGCTTATTTTTAATGTGATTAATGTTCTACTTTTGAACAATTCAGTCAGTACTTTGATGCTCTACAGAAAATTGATTCATGATATAATAACCTTCGATTCTTTCTCTGAAGGTCGTCAATACTGGGGCATAAGAGCTTATGCAAAGACAATCATATCAGGCTATCCAAAACCTCTTACCAACCTTGGGCTCCCATCTTGGGTCAATAAGGTGGACGCAGCAGTTTATGAGTCAACTACTAGAAAAACACTAATATTTGTGAATAACCAATATTGGAGGTGAGTGATGGCAATGACCTAGTGTTTGTTTGATTGTTAACATACCATGTGCATGTTGGTCTTTGCTTGAATATTAATTGTATAAAGGAGGACTATAGTTGGCCTATTTATTTGGATAGATAGCATTGCTGACAGTGCCATTTCTCTGTTGCAGCTTCGACGAGGGACGGAACCAAATGGACCCTGGATACCCACGATACATCAGAACAGATTTCCCTGGCATAGGCTCCAAAGTAGACGCAGTCTTTGAGAATTATGGTGAGATATTTTCTTCTCTTGGCCCTTATAACCCATTTCACACAAGTCCAGTGCCTCTCCTAGGTTATTATATGTTGCCTTTGCTTGCTTAGCACCACACAGCAGTGACTGAAAGTTAGTGACAAGCTGGAAAAAAGTGAAGCAGTTAGCAGCTGAAGAGTCAGTTTTTTTCACAAAAACACAAATTCAAATTATAGCTTAGGTTTCTCCATGTCTGCTGAATGTGCAGAAGGCCAAATGTTTGGTAAAACATTTGCTAAAAGAACTTAGTGACTGTTGTTAGTTTATTTAAGGCTACTTTCAAGTGGTCAAAAAGGTCACTCCTGCCTCATGTTCAGTTGCATAAATACATAAACTTTATCTTCTCTCTTACAGGATATCTTTATTTCTCTAATGGTGCCAGACAGAGCGAGTACTACCTGCCTCAAAAGAGAGTGATGAGAGTACTGCTCAACTACGGCTGGCTCAACTGTTACTGAGAATTTGGAAACACATCGACAGAAATATATCCAATATATAAATGCATTTAACATGACAAACTCATGTGAATTAAAGTAAATTGTATTTCTGAATTTTGGAAACAATTCTCACAGTTACTATTTTTTTTTTACGAAGTTACTATTAGCCAATGTCATTTGACTCTGCCCACATTGTGCTCCGCCCCAAATTGACTTCACCAGGAGTTTTGTTAATGACTTTTTATCTGATTCCCCCTGTTAGATTTGCTCTAGGGTAACTCTGCTTCAGCATTTGACATGGAACAACTCTTGTCTTGGTCTGAGTAGGCTAATTAGGGCTGCAAGTTTGGTCGAGCGATTGCTGTGAAGGAATTCTCTATTGGCTATAGTGTGTGTGTGTGTGTGTGTGTGTGTGGGGGGGGGGGGGGGGGGGGGGGGAGTAGGCTACAGCTAATCAAATAGCCTACAGTTTAGGTTTTTTTTTCCCATTGTTGGAAAATAATTATATATGTTAGACTAGGAGCATCAATTTTAGGGTTAAAAACTAAATAGCCATTGTGGGGCTTTAATAATTGGAGAGCCCTGGTTGGTTGAATTCCTTTACTAATGGTGCCATAAACTTAGATAAAAAGTGCATAGTGAAATCTAATATTCAATCCAATCAGGCTATGGAAGCCCATTTCCGCCAGTTAAAAATATTAAAATTACAAGACAAATTCCTATCAACTGTTGTTGAAATGGATTTAATAAACTCACAGACTGTCTGTCTGAGCTCCACTCTGTCTGACTCTCAGCAGACTGTTAACGTCTCTCCGGCTCGCTGCCCGAAGATCAAACCTTAATTTTGCAAACTCTTAAGATAACTGTTTATTGCATCCTGTCGGGTTGGAGTTGTCTTTACAGTCTAACTCTTAAGTTTTGTTTTCGGGCAATGCATCCCACTCTGCTGCCGAGCAGAAGGGGAGGGGGAGACATGTCTGTGTAGGAGCATAAACTGCATCATCAAAATTAACACATTAGCTCTGTTCTACGATCTCCCTGTTTTGGCAGATTTTCAACACGTTTAAATCCTTCACGATCTAAGATCGTTATTCCATACACCAATAGTTTGCTGTGATGCAACTTTTTTTTTTATGACATTTGTCATGTACCCCCTACAGTACTCCCACGTTCCCCTAGGGGTACGCGTACCCCCATTTGAGAAACACTGTTATAGGCTACATGCAGTTTGTTTTCGTCAGAAGACTAGACAAGAGCTATGTGAGGTCAGTCCATTTACCATTTTGAATATATTGTAATGTAGTTTACCAAACCAAAGACTATTAAGTGCTTGCTCTTTAAAAACATTTTGGTATGTTTTTGTTGTAAAGGAGATAACACTTTAGATGTGTTACTTGTGCATTTTACTTTAAGTGAGGCTTTAGATTGTCTGTAAAAAAAGAGCCTTAGAAATCACAGTGGCAGCCACATCTTTATCAAAGCAAGAAAGGTTCAAATAGGCCTACCACACAAAGATAAGTAGAGGGGATTGTAAAAACATGTGGTTTGGTCAGCCTTTAAATATAAATATTATGAGGATGGAGCACAGAGCTCACAGATACTTCAACCACTTGAAGAACAGCGCCATCTGGTGTCCTTTTTTTAAAAGGGAGTTAATCAGATAAAATCGAGAAAAACTGTGTTTTACATTTTCAGAAGTCCCTATCTGCAGGCTCAATTTAAAGACTAAAAGATTGGGTGGGAAATGATTTGACAAAAAAAAAAAAATTGGCTAAAAATAAGTTCCAGTTTTATATATTTAAAAAAAAGATGTAAATAGCCTACATTCAAATAAATAATGTGTAGGCATACTTCAAATCTCCATAGTAACCCAGGTTGCTAGGAGACGATTAAAAAATTTAGTAATTCGAACAAAAACAAAGTCAAAGTACTTTGAAACAAATCTCACTGAGAGACAGCAGCAAATAGTCACACATTTTGGAGGATTTCTTGGACAGATCTTCATCAAGGACTTTTTGTTCTCCAAACATCGACTGAACATCATCACGAAGCTCAAGAGTGTCAACATGGACGACGTAAGATTGATTCTTTAAATAAAACGTCCTGTGTTACTGTCGACACAATCGGAACTTTGAAATTAAACGATGATTGATTAAAGTTTATTAAATGACATTTAAAACTCACATTAGTCTACACATGACAGACGTTTGACACAAACAGTAACTGTAAACAACACAAAATAGTAACACAATTTAATTTAAGGCCTACACTTCAGACCAGGTCAAATTCAAATAGACAACAAAAAAATAACTAATGAAAGTCGGCTAACTTTGCCCCAGATGTTGGCATGATGTGCGTTTGTCTCAATTTTCATCCTTTATTATTTTCTCATCGTTAGGGTCTTAATTTATGAACTTTATTTCTGTTATTTCTGTCTAGGAGAAGCCTAGCTCATTTTAAATTTACATGTTGTAGCTTAAATACACTTTTAAAATAATGTTAGCTATATTTAAAAAGTAAACAGCATTTTAAATCTCCATAGTAACCTGCTGCAGGTTGCCATGGTGATAGACCAGATACGAAAATGAATTTATTCAAACAAAAACAAACTCAGAGACAGCAGAAAATATCCAAAGTGGATTAAAATTTCATATTTTCGAGGATTTCTTCACAAAAGATCTTCAGAGTATTTGAGCATGCAGGACGTAAGATTGATGATTTGAATAAAACTAGATTGACACAATCACACTCTCAAAGTTCAATAAAATAACATGGACTCAGAGGTTTTTAAGACCGTTCACCTTTTTATCACAAACAGATATGAAAACATGTAATAAATTAAATATTAAAACATAATAATGTTGGCAGCTGCTTCTGTCGTGATCTTTATAAAAACTAAATGACTTTCTGTCACACCTTTAACTGTTTTAAAACTCAAATAGTCTATTTCATTTATATTGTGTTGAGAAAGAAACAGTGAAAGTAGTTTGGTTCAGGAACTTTAAGTTTGATCCTGAATGAATCTATGTGAGTGTAAACTTTAATAACACATTAAACCAACAATATATAGATATTAACAAAATACTTTCTACTGTAAATACTCATAGAAATGAGACTTTTAATAATTTAATGAATAATTATTGATTGTTGGTCATAACTTTATAGTGTGAGAATGTGAGGACTTTATTTTTTAGAAAACATATTCTTCAATTTATCAGAGGTTTACATTTTGGGATTGTTTCTGTCTTTTAGACAATTCCAGCAATTCCGGATGGTCTACACCCTCGTCCAGGACCCGGACTGGTCCAGCCCGAGGGTGATCCTGAGGAGGATCCCATCTTCAGCCAGCTCTTCAGGAGGTTCATTACCGAGGTCCCCGCCTGTAACTCCTCCTCGCTCTCCTTCCTCTCCTGCAGAGGTAATTATTCACTTGTTTCCTTTTAACTCAACAATTAGTTTGTATTTGATCTGAAGAATGATTGAAATCTTTTTTTAAACCCTAAAGTAAATCACTGATCCTTAACAACTTGAAGTTTTGAGTCTTGTTTGTAGTTATCTGACCTTTATTCAGAGGCTATTTAAAGTTCTATATGGAAACTCAAATATGAAACATATTCAAAAGTTACATATGAACTTTCTTTAAACCCTTGATCATTTTAACAGCTGATTCTGTCATGATCTTTTTACAAACTAAATATTTATGTTTACTTATCTTTTTACTGGTTAAAAACCTCAATGTTTTTATTAATATTGTGTTGTGGAAGAAACTGTGAAAGAAGTTTGGTTCAGATAATTCATTTTCTATCCAAAATCAATCTTTGTAAGTGTGCACTTTGTGAAGCACATCACACCAAACAACAAACATATAGGCTGACAGCCTGCCGACAAACCAATACAAATATGAATTGCAGCAAATACTTGTAGAAATGTGTTTGTTTGAATGACTTAAAGGAACACTTATTGAATGTTCTTTATAACTTCAGACTTTAAATGTTGAAATGTTAGTTTGTTTCTGCCTTTAGTGCTCCCACTGGACTGTCCACGACCTGGATCAGACCAGTCTGAGGCTCATCCTGCGGAGGGCCAGTTCTCCAGAACCGTCTCCACCCAGGTCCCCTTCTGTGTCTCCTCCTGCCTGTCCCTCTAACTGCTTGATCTTTGACCTTCAAGTGAGCTCCTCCTCTTCTTCCTCATCTTCCTTATCTTCCTCCTTCACTCCTCTTCCTCCTCCCCTCCTCCACTCCCTCCTTCTCTCCCTCCTCCTCTACCTCCTCCTCTCCCTCCTCCACTCCCTCCTTCTCTCCCTCCTTCTATCCCTCCCCTCCACCCCCCTCCTTCTCTCCCTCCGCCCCTCCCTCCTCCTCTCCCTCCTCTGTTAGGCATCATCAGAAGAGACCGGCTGCATGGGCGGAAGGAGAGCCTCCACGGAAGCGTCCTCACTAGAGATAAGCTCCTGTGTTGAGTAGAATATAAGATAGAATAAAATAAGTTAAGTTTAGATAAGTTTAGATAAGTTAAGTTTAGATAAGTTTAGATAAGTTAAGCTTAGATAAGTTTAGATAAGTCAAGTTTAGATAAGTTTAGATAAGTTAAGTTTAGATAAATGAAGCTTAGATAAGTTTAGATAAATTAAGCTTAGATAAGTTTAGATAAGTTAAGTTTAGATAAGTTAAGCTTAGATAAGTTAAGCTTAGATAAGTTTAGATAAGTTAAGTTTAGATAAGTTAAGCTTATATAAGTTAAGCTTAGATAAGTTTAGATAAGTTAAGCTTAGATAAGTTTAGATAAGTTAAGTTTAGATAAGTTTAGATAAGTTAAGTTTAGATAAGTTTAGATAAGTTAAGCTTGACTTTTTTATTAACGTAAAAAAGATAATCAAATTAACTTATAATAACCAGTGGGCGCGCACTGTAGCTGTTCCCACTCAACGTTCTTGAAGCCAAAATATGCCGCTTAGGGGCGCTTCCATTTTGCGATTTTGATGTCATTTGGAGCCAGAGTCTGCGCAGTAGAGTCCGGGGGCAGGAGCCCTGGTAACACGCCCCGCCCACTTAGCATACTGCCCTGATGACTTACGCAGCCCAGCTA